TCCCCGGGGGGGGACGGGACGTACCACTATGCGGGGGGGCGCACCATGTGCAGGGCCACCTCCAGTCCCCTTCCTGCATGTCCACAAGAGCTCCCCTCCAGTCAAAGGAGTTAATTCTCTGCTTTGGTTTAGGGCAGGTGAGACGGAGGTGGCTCAGCAGCTCCCGGAGGTTGCACTCACTCTCCTCCCCCTTTAAGTCCCCCGGAAACCGGAAGTGGAGCAGTCCGCAAGGGTCCGCACGTCCCCTGGCGCCCCGCCCAGGCCCCGCCCCTCAGTCCTCGGCGGCGCTCCCGACCTGTCTGTTCTCTCCACTCGTTTTTTTAAAATTGTTGACAGTATTACAAATGTCCTCCACTTCCCCGACCCTTTGCCCCCCTTCACCGCGTCCCCGCCCTGCCCCAGGCCTTCACCACACTTGTCTGTCCATGGGTGATGCATCTCCGCATGTAAGGTCTTCGGTTCATCTCTCCCCGGCCCCCCACGCCGATCTGTCTCTCTCCACTCTTACCTGGTGGCTGTCTCGCGGCTCCAGCTTCCCGCCGCTATGGTTCCGTCGCCTTTTCATTACTTTTCATGTTTCGTTTCTTCCTAGTGCCACAACCTCCCCTCCTGCCTTCACAGTCGCGCCAAACTGGCCGGAGAGCTTAGGCTGGGAGTGAGCCTCTGTCCCGGTGAAACCAGCGTGGCCTTTGGGCCCAGAGTCTGACCAGCTCGTCCTTGGACCCGCTCCAAGTTATTTGATGTCACCGAACTTCAGTGGTTCAAACAGAAAAAGGGAAAAAATGATTTCTATACCGGGGGTGGGGGGTGCAAGAAACCACTTCCTTCTCACCTAAGTTCTGCCTGGGCCAATCCATTGAACAGACAGACCAAGAGGAGAAAATGTCCAAAGTTGATTAGGGATCCTCATGCAGCGGCGCCATGAGATATGAGACCCAAAGACACCTTAGGCAAGTGAGGTTTACGTGCCGTTTTGGATAAAAGAGAAGGGGAGGGTGGGATTTCAAAAGGACCCCGGGCAATCCACAGGTGGGCAACATGTGGCAAACCAGTTCTTTCTCGGCACCCCAGGCCAGTGGGATCCAGAAGGGAGTTCGACCAACCAGGCTTTGCTAGATTTCTTCCTATCTGCCCCCCTTTTAATTCATGGGTGCTCAGGTGACATTACTAAGGGTGCCTTCCTGCAGCAGGTTTTTCTATCTGAATTCCTTTAAGCCAGTGGTTCTCAACCTCTAGCCCTTAAAATACAGTTCCTCATGTTGTGGTGACCCCCAACCATAAAATTATTTTCGTTGCTACTTCATAACTGTCATGTTGCTACTGTGATGAATCGTCATGTAAATATCTGATATGCTGGATGGTCTCAGGCGACCCCTGTGAAAGGGTCGTTCGACCCCCAAAGGGGTCGCGACCCACAGGTTGAGAACCGCTGCTTTAGGCAGAAAGGGGGAGTGTCAAAGATGCTAAGCTTTTTCTTTTCTTCTTCTTCCTCTTCTTTCACCAGCTTAAAATCAATATTCCATATTTTGGGGTGGCAAAACTTCAGTCCTCCTCAATACTTAGTGAAAAGCACCTGCCACCGAGTGACCATTCGAGGACTGTGACTTCTATATAAAATAATTACTATTAGCTGTTAGCTCATCTCTTTAATCAACATCCTTACTATCAGTTTAACTAACAAAAGGGGCCCTTAATAATACCTGAAATTCCAAAACACTCAGTCCTGAACTTCAGGAGAAATACGCCCTTTAGAGACCTTTTTACTTGATTTTCACAAAGAAATGCTGTGAAAGTGTGGTCGTGTTCAAACAGTTTAGCTTTCTGCTTTAGCTGGAACCCGGGTCTTGGTGAAAGCATTGGTTCCTAAGAAAGTCGGTATAGGAAGGAGGGTGGAGAAAGAAATCTCATTCTACTTTGCTCTCCATTGTTCAAGTTTTTACTTATTCAAACCAAGAATCTGTATGCTCTTAACAAGGTAGAGTAAATCATTTTTCATTCAGCAAGTAAGATGTCCTATAAATACTGAAGGTTTCACTGAAATGAGAGTTTTGTGGGAATGAATGGAATGGGAGTCTTGCAGTTTTGTCCCCGACCACAGCAGCACCACTGGGGATCAGCACCAAGCTGGCCCGGTCATGTTGAAGGTTTTCCAACTCATTGGTGATTTCACATGTTTTGCTTTTGGTCATGGCTTTGGATTTTATTGGATCTTATTTACATAAGGAAAAACTCTATTGAAAACTAAAAAGTGGGGGAGGGAAAATGACCATCAAAAGTCAGTTGGGCCCTGCTGGCGTGGCTCAGTGGTTGAATGTTGACCTATGAACCAGGAAGTCAGGGTTTGATTCCTGACCAGGGTGCGTGCCTGGGTTGCGGGCTCAGTCCCCAGTGTAGGGCATACAGGAGGCAGCCGATCAATGATTCTCTCTCATCATTGACGTTTCTATCGCTCTCTCCCTCTCCCTTCCTCTCTGAAATCAATAAAAATGCATTTTTTTTTTTATAAAAAGCCAATTAGCTCAGGACCTTTTTTCTTACTCGCCACTAAAGGTTCCAAAGCTCAAGACTCCTGCGACCCCCACAATACGTTGGACCCAGAGGCTTAAGCAATAACAGAAGTCATTTGTCTCCATTTGGATGTTTTCCAAATTTACCCAACAAATATGCAGGAAGTTCTGATTATTTATGAGGTAACTTAATATTGACATGTTATTAAATGACCTGACCCTCCTCTGAGCATTTGGAATTGTACATCTAATGACGGCAGGATAACTCCTCTCCCAAGGCTAGAAGGTTGGTAATCAACAGTTTTCCTCGGTAAGATTGATTTCCTCCAAAAAGAAATTCCAATCAATCGACTGTCTTCTCGCCGTCTTGTACATTTCCTGAACTGCGTGCAAGAGGATTTCACGGGGAGCGAGATTTCTATGGCCTTTTTTTAAGCTGAGAAGGCTAAGCTCCGGAGACGCACTGCCTAAACCCATTACACACAGATCACCTAACGCCGTGACTGCGTTTGTGATGCTAGATTAATTTACCCACACCCCAGGTCGGGAGAAAAACGACTTTACACATCTTCTTTGCGCTAGCAAAGAATGTGGAGATCATTTTACAGGAAAGAAAAAGACAGGTCTGTACTGGAGGCCAGCCCTGGGCAGATAGGGATGCCACCTTCCCTGTCATTCAGGAGCCCCTGCCTGAGACATGAAAGAAAGCCCTGAAAGAGGACGATGAGGAGTTGGGGATATTTACAAAGGGCAGTAACTAAGGACTGAGTAATCTGAGGCTGGATGGTCTCACAGAGAAAGCATTGACGTGAGGGTTGGGAACCCTGTCCAGTATCATTTATCCCCAGATCCCGCGTTCTCCTGCTGTCCGCTCTGTGAACTTGCGCCAAGCACTTGGCCTCTACGGTAGAATTTCCCCTTCTTCCGAGAGGAAAAATGAGCGATAATGTGTCGAGGTCTCTAAGGGGCTGGCATTGTTAGAGTGAATTCTGGCAACTTCCATAGCTCTCGCATAGGTTGGAACAAAGAAAAATGTCGCCATGATGTCTTAACCATTGCCTGGAGGATTTGGTTTTAAGTCCCAAGGGCACCCAACACAGAAGGCGGCTCTGACCGCACCAGCCTCGGGCGTGCTGGAGGTCTTCTGCTTGGTCCTATTGTCCATAAGGAGTATGAACTTGGATGAGTTTCCTCATCAGAAAAACAGGTATAAATATCCCATAGGCTACCAGGTTGTTTTGAGAATGTTAAGTAGATACGGCTCCTTGTATAGTGGCCAACAGAGTAGGCATACCAAACATGACCCTTCTGATTATGCATCAGCTTGGTTTAGACCAGTGGTTCTCAACCTTGGCTGCACATTAGAATCACCTGGGAATCTTTTTAAAATCCTGATTTCTGGGCCTCATCCTCTGGAAATTCTGTTATGGGATGAGGCCACAACATTAGTAACAAAGGAACAGAATTTCTGGAGGATGAGGCCCAGAAATCAGGATTTTAAAAAGATTCCCAGGTGATTCTAATGTGCAGCCAAGGTTGAGAACCACTGGTTTAGACAACCTCCATTCCTGATAAATTGTGAATATTTCTCTTTTTCTTAAATGTGTCATTATTGTTGGAAAGTATGACAGATGTCTGCTTTGTGTGTTTTTTCTGTTGGTTTTTTTCCCCTCTTCCCCGCGCTCAGCCCTCCCAAGCCTTTGCCACACTATTGTCTGTGTCCACGGCCTATGCCGATGTGCAGCGAATATTACTTATAACACAGTAAAGAATGTTATGGAAACCAACTTGCATCTTGGACAAATTACTGCACATGCTTTGTGGATCAGTTTTCTCATCTGTGAAAGAGTAACAATAGTACCTATTCTCTGTGACTATTGTAGGATAACTGAAATGATGCATGTGAAGGACTTAGCCCAGAGACAAGGACATAATGATAAAAATTAACTACTATTATTATTTTTATCATCCCTAACATCATCATGGTAAGAATCATTGTGAATTCTCCTCCGACGGACCAACATTTTCCCTCATTGTTTTAGTTGTCAGCAGCTGCCATGCTAGATGAGCAATGGAATGAGTGAGTGCGTGTGATTTATTGGTTTGTGTTATAATCTTTCCCATGTCAGCAATAAGGATCATACTTGCTCTGCATGTCGATATTTATCTATAAATCCCATAAATTTAGAAGACTGCTGTGGTGACTCGATAAGCTGGTAAGCATTATAGCGTACTTATTAACAAAATAAACACATCACATATAGAAAGACAAATCTAATGAAACATGCTAAGCCTTGCTTTTCCAATACCTAACCAAGTGTTTTCTCTTCATTAGTCAAAAGTACTTACAGAAGAGCATCAATGCTGACACTCTTTAAGACAATGGTCTGTCCTGGCTGGTGTGAGCATCGACCTATGAACCAGGAGGTCATGGTTTGATTCCTAGTCAGGGCACATGCCCGGGTTGCAGGCTCAATCCCCAGTAGGGGGGCGTGCAGGAGGCAGCCGATCAATAATTCTTTCTCATCATTGATGTTTCTCTCTCTCTCTCCCTTTCCCTTCCTCTCTGAAATCAATAAAATTATATATATAAAAGAGACAGTGGTTCTGAACTGGACACTCTAGAAGTTCAATACGGAGCCAATGATTGAGTCCGGCTCCTCCTGGGCCTTCGACAAGAGGCTTCCGCCTTGATGAAAGCACTGTGCCTGGGCAGATACTGTGCTTCGAATCCTTTACCAATGCCCACGGGCAGGGCAATGGGGCCTTGCCATGGAGGGAAGGGATGACTTAAGGCTGAAATAAAGCAAACCAACACAAAAATGTCTAGATCAGCGGTTCTCAACCTGGGGGTCGAACCACCCTTTCACAGGGGTCGCCTAAGACCATCGGGAAACACATACATAATTACATATTGTTTTTGTGATTCATCACTGTGCTTTAATGATGTTCAATTTGTAACAGTGAAAATACATCCTGCCTATGAGATATGTACATGATGATTCATAACAGTAGCAAAATTACAGTTATGAAGTAGCAACGAAAATAATTCTATGGTTGGGGGTCACCACAGCATGAGGAACTGTATTAAAGGGTCGCAGCATCAGGAAGGTTGAGAACCACTGGTCTAGATGTAACCGCAGGACCAGCTGATGAGATGCTGAGAGACA